ATCGAGATATATATCTTATATCGCCATCCAGCTAAAAAATATCGAGATATGAATTTTGGGTCATATCGCCCAGCCCTAGTCCCAGTTTGTTGTTGTTTATGCTACAGCTACAGCTTTGAACTTTGCAGAGTGTCCTGTGAGTTCTTTCTGGGGTTTTTTTGCAGGCAAAAAACGGTGTTTCCGTCTGTCTTTGAACGCCGCTTTTTACGTCACTCGGATGGTGCGTTCAGGGCGCCATCCGAGTGACGTAAAAAGCTGCGTTTGTCGGAACAGAACGCCTTTTTTTCGGCGTTTAGAATAATTAAAAGGCGTTTTTTACGCCATTTCTTAACCAAACGGGTTAGAAAAGTGGCAATTTTTGGCACTAATGGCTTGCCAAAACAGGGACTAGCAGTAACGTGGATCTGTCGGGCGTGCTTCCCCATGACACCAGGAAAAGAGATCGCCACTTTCAAAATAAAAGCTCATCTAAAAAATACATGCAGGGCTTTAGGACTCGAACTTAAAAAAAATAACTACATAAAAAATAAAAAACACCAGTAATTTTATACGTTTTAAATTGTAAGTTTGAGACTTATAAAATTGTACTGATAATTTCATAATTCAAATTAGACAAGAATCGGGTCTGATCACCAACAAAAACCGCCCTAAAGTAAAGAGACAAAATCAACACAAGGCAGTACAATTGGGAAACACAACAATCATAGTTAGCCAATCAGGCGGGTGGCAACAGATTACATCACAATTTGTAACATAAAAGACCAGCGGTCCCTTTCCTGGTCTTTCTGAAGAAACTTCCAGTCACAGTCATTCAGTCATCTCTTCTACTTTACTCTTAGTGGTATTAAGAACATAAAACGTAAGTATTGATATTGGAGCTGTTTTTTTTAGTGCCTTTGTACTATGTACAACAAATAATGTAGTGAAAGATAAAAGATCTAGCCATTTAAGTTCCTGTGAATATAAAGACTGTCAAAGTACCCCTAAAATTTGGCCTGACTTTTCTTTCGGCCTACGAATGTTTTATATATGTGTATCTTCATTTTTCTCTCGAAGAAACTTTTG